TGCAGATTCAACCAAGCACATGTCAAAAAATGTTTGGGGAAGGGCTGGGACTGTGGCTCAGCAGTAGTGCACTTGCCTTGCATGTGTGAGGCACTGGGTTTGATTCTCAGCACCACATATAAATAAATAAAATAAAGGTCTATCAACAACTAGGGGGAAAATGTTTGGGGAAACCTTGCATCTGTACCCACCATGCACAGGCTTTTGTCTCTTGCCCTGGCTCCCTAAGCCACACACTTTAGAACAATTATTTCCCCTGCATTTACATTGTATTAGGGGTATTATGAGTCACCTGGGGAGGATTCAAAGTATATCTAGGGATGTCCAGGTTATATGCAAATGCTGCACCATTTTGTATCAGGGACTTTAGCAGGCATATATTTAGGTATCCTCTGGGTTTCTGGAACTGGGTCCTCGTCCTCCTGCTTGTACCCAGGGGACTATATTAATTAATATAATACAATAAGTAACAATATCAACATCCTGTCAAGTAACCACCAAATTGTCAAGTCATTGAACCAACTGTAGGCCATGTGAAATGTATGTGTTTGTTTGTGACAGTGTCACAGGCTCTGCTGATACCACTGTAACTTATTCCTCACATGCCAAATTAAAAGAAATGCTCATTTTCAGTTCTTACAAAAGTATTTTTTTCCTAATTTCATGAACCCCTGCTTAAGAATATCTGCTTTAGAAGCTGGGGTTGTGGCTCAGTGGTAGAGAGCTCACCTGGCATGTGTGAGGCACTGGGTTCAGTTCTTAGCAGCAAGTAAAAATTAATAAATAAAATAAAGGTATTGTGTCCATCTAAAACTAAAAAAAGTTAAAAGACTGCTTTTAGGAGCTGGGGTTTGTGTAATTCATTGATAGATCACATCTTTAGCATATACAGGGCTCTGGGTTCAATCCCCAGCACTCTGCCCAAAAACAAAAATTCCTGCTTTATAATGTACCTTCAGTGAGAGAATATTGCCCCTAAAATGATTAAAATCTACCGAGGAGAGGGACAGAAACATTTATTGATATGATACTGGTTTATGATGCTCCAAAGAAACCACAGTATGATATACTTATGATACATTATAGCAGGACATGGTGGATCATCAATTTACAGAGACCTGTCTAAAAATAAGGGGCTGGGGATGTGGCTCTGTGGTGGAGCACCCCTGGGTTCAATCCTAGTACCATGCTGGGGTGGGGGGGGGTGGACTAGGTCCCTTGTCTTATTGTCCTCCTTAAGTAGTATCTAAGAACTCAGTACTTATTTATTTATTTATTTATTTATTTATTTATTTATTTATTTATTTATTTTTAGTTTAGCTGTATGTCACCTTGAGCCACTTAATTATTTCTGAGCCTCGGTTTTCACATCTACAAAAGGGCAGAAAGATGCTTGCTTGGTTAAGTGGATTTGAAGTTAAATGAGTTCAGGTGCAGGCCTTTGACGAGTATGGGTGGTAGGTAGAGGTTTGCCTGGGCCCTAAGGAGCAGCGTGGAGAGCTTGACATTTTTGCGGGAACTTTGGGTCTTCAGAAGCAGGAGAGAGACACAAGGGTGACATGAGGAGTTAGCTTGATTTATTTTTTTTTTATTTTAATTTTTTTTTTTTTTTGAGAGAGAGAGAGAGATAGAGAATTTTTAAAACATTTATTTTTTTAGTTTTCRGCGAACACAACATCTTTGTTTGTATGTGGTGCTGAGGATCGAACCCGGGCGGTACTCATGCCAGGCGAGCGCACTACCGCTTGAGCCACATCCCCAGCCCAACCCAGGAGTTTTAGATGTGTTTTAGATGTTTAATGTCAATCTAAAAGAAGCTGTAGGACAAAGGTGGGTACAGTTTACAGTTTTTTCTTCCACCTGAGTTCCCAGGCGCATTCTCCAGGAGGTGCATACCAGCAACTGTTTCTCTTGTATCATTTTCCGTTTCCATGTACATATTTATGTCTTTACCTATGAGCCCAAATGGGAGCACATTATATACACATCCTGTTCTCTTCCCTTTTTTTCCTCTTATGAAATAACTTCTGGGCGGTTGTTCTGTGGAGGAGCACACTAACAGTCTACTTGTCTTGGTAGGATACAATGTTCACCTTTTGTGCACTCTAATTTATTTAGCCAGAAACTTCCTGATGGACAGTGTGTGTCCATTTGTGTACTTGTTTGTTAATATGAGAAATGCTGCAAGAAATACCTTGCAATACAGGAAGTAAATTCCTAACAAAGGAATTGCTGAGTCAAGGAGAATTAAACTAAAATTAAGATGTTGCCAGATGACTCCCTGAAGAAGTTATATACATTTATGTTCACTACCTGTGGGTGTATTTCCCCAAGAGAAAGTTTTTGACATATAATTACAAAATTGCTTTTCTGGAAAGATTGTGCCAGTTAACACCACCCCCATTACCTACCCCTAATCACTGCGTTTGAGCACATGAATTGCATATACATACACCATTGTTCTGGGAATTGATGAGATTTTTGTTCTTTCATCTTTGTTTTTTGACTTGACTCTTAGGACTGAATCAGAGTGCTGTGGAGGCCTTAGGTCTTTGTGTTCTGCCTCCCCTATGCAACTGTCTCTGGAAGTAGCCTTGTGGCATCATATCCCTTCTGGGGCTGAGGATATAACTTAGTGGTAGGGCAGTTGCCTAGCATGTATGAGGCCTGTGTTTAATACCCAATACTGCAAAAAAAAAAAAAAAAGGATATGGAGGGAGGAATAGTCATGGCACATGGCTAATCCCAGTGACTCAGGAGGCTGAGGCTGGAGAATTGCAAATTTGAGGTAAGCCTAGGAGAATTAGCAAGGCTCTGTCTTCATATGAAAAATAAGCATCCCTGGTTCATCCCAGTGCCATAAAGAAGGAATATGTGTGGTTTTTCTTGTGTGTGTTTTACATGTGTTTGTGTGTTRGAAGGAGGGACACTTTGGAATCTCAAAAATATCCCTGAGAAAAAATAGCTGCAATGTAAATACATGAAAGGAAACATACAATGGTGGGTCCATTGTTGCCCCCACAGCCCTGCTTCCTCTGCACACAGTAGGTGGTGAGCATGGTTGGTGAGGTAGGCACTGGGTGACTTTGGAAGTCTTCTTTTTACTCAGTCTGAAATTGGTAAAAATGAAGTCAGCTTATTAAGGTTGTTCTTCAAGATCCATCTTTCCTCCAAACTATTGGAAGCTTTTCAGTCAAAATCCATGGTTTACTAACATAAGTAGCAATTGTTTATTTATTTGAAAGTGGTGTGCATCCTTGCCTTGGCTCCATCTACATGGAGAAGTCACACATAGGCTTCATTTTAAACAAAAGAAGTTCTGCTACTTCCTGCTTCTGGGGTTTACCTCACCTGACTTGTGCAGCATGCAGAACTTATACTCCTTTTTTGCACTGTGGGTGAACCAGGATTACATTTGTCACCACTGTAAACAGTTTTGCCTTTAAAAACAAACAAACATGTGCACACTTGATAACATGGATCTTTGTGCTTGTGCAAATGTGTGTATGGCTCAGGTTCACAAGCCTAGAGGTGCTAGGTCTGAGACTCCAAGCTCCAGTGCCTTCTTAGGGGAGGGCCTAGCCTACCTGATAGGGTGGCAGGGGGCTGGACAGATACTGCCCACTAGGCTTTATATTCCTAGGACCCAAGCCTCTGGGTACAGCACAGTCCTCAAAAGGGAATCAGAATGTGTACGCTAATACTAACCCTAATCTGGATAGGATCCACTTGCCCAAAAAATCCACGGGTCAGTCATTTTTAAGAAGATAAGACTCAAAATAGGACTTAGCTTTTGTACACAGATGTTCCTTGACTTATAGTGGGATTACATCCCGATAAACCCAGAGAAGTTGAAGTTATCGTGACCAGAGAATGCAGTTAATATGCCTAACTGACTGAGCACCCCTGCCTAACCACGCTGTGGTGCTGAAGATCTCACTTGCTGCTGGTGATTCTATGGATTTCCAGCATTGCAAGAGAGGATTCCCCAGCAAAGGTCAAAATGTAGAATTCCAAGTACTAAGCCTGTGTTCCTGTCACACTGTCATAAGTTGAAAAAAACAGCTGAAGGATCCTGGATCAGGGATCGTGTATTTCATTTCAGAAAAATAGAATTATAGCAGAAGTTGTTAGTATGTGTGTGTGGTGGGGGGTCCACCATTCCTTTCCCCTACTTCCATACTTCTCACTTTCTATAATGGCTTCATTTTCTTTTTAAAGTCCTAAATGTTAAGACACCACAACGGGTTTGTCGTAATCTGAAAAAGTTAATGAAGTCTTTCTACGTTCGTGTCTTGCTTGGCCATTGCAGTCTTTTTCCGTGTGTTTCCCACATGTGAAGCTGTTCTGGGAACATTCTTCTTGTCAGCCCAAGCAGTAAGGATGGTCACCAGAGGAGCAGCGGCAGTGCCAAGGAGAAGGAGAAGCCGAAACCCAGCCTGTCATGTACTTGAAGGCAGAGGCTGCCCTGCCACCCTCCCCTCAGGACATAAGCTATTTACACAAAGGCAAAGTGGCCAACACTAACGTGACTCTGCAGGCACTCCGGGGCACCAAGGTGGTGCCCCGCCCACCACAGTGCCCAGTGCCCATGACATCCCGTGGGTCCTGGACCAGATCCTGTGCCTGAAGCAGCAGCAGCTCCAGCAGCTGCACCTTACCGAGCATATCCACTTGCAGGTGAACATGTGGGCGGCACATGCCCTGCACTCCAGGGTGGCAGACATCCTGAAGACCTTGGGCAGCCACGTGTCCCAGCAGGTGTCCGCCACCATGGCTCTGCTCAGCCAGAAGGCCGGAAGCCAAGATCTGTCTCTGAATGCCTTGAAAAAAGCCAAGCTACCTCATGCCAACATCCCTTCCACCGCTGGCTCTCTGTCCCCAGGGCTGACCCCCTTTGCCCTGAAGCCAGACAGGTCGAGGGTGCTCTTGAATGTCGTGTCTCAGTTCCCAACCACTTTGCTACCTCAGGCCCCAGGTTCTGTGCTCTTCCAGAGCCCTTTCTCCACCATGGCCCTAGACCCATCCAAGAAAGGGAAAGGGAAGCCACCAAACATCTCCACTGTGAATGTCAAACCGAAAGAGGAGGCGGGCCCTCTTCAAGCACATGTGTAAGTACTGTAGCAAGGTTTTTGGGAATAATAGCTCCTTGCAGATCCACCTCGTCTCCCATACTGGATAAAGACCCTTCGTGTGATCTGTCTGTGGTCACTGCTTCACTACCACGGGCAACCTCAAGGTACACTTTCACCGACACCCCCAGGTGAAGGCGAACCCCCAGCTGTTTGCCGAATTCCAGGACAAAATGGCAGCAGGCAATGGCATCCCCTATGCACTATCTGTCCCCATCCTTGTAGATGAATCAAGTCTCTCTTTAGATAGAAAACCTGTCCTTGTAACAGGGACCCCTTGTGTGGGGATACCTCAAAATCTCTCTCTGGGGGATAACCCCAAGGACATCCTGGGTGGCCCGCTGCCCAGCGATCTACAGCCTGGGCCTTCTCCAGAAAGTGAGGGTGGACCCACACTATCTGGGGTCAGACCCAACCATAATTCCCTAAGGGTTGGTAGCTTCCAGGGGAGTGGGACCCCCGAGCCAGGGTCAGAGACCCTGAAGTTACAGCAGCTTGTGGAAAACATCGACAAGGCCACCACCGACCCCAACAAATGTCTCATTTGCCACCGAGTCTTAAGCTGCCAGAGCTCTCCCAAGATGCATTACCGCACCCACACCTGGGAGAGGCCTTTCCAGTGCAAGGTCTGTGGCCGAGCTTTTTCTACCAAAGGCAACTTGAAGATGCATCTTGGGGTTCACCGAGCCAACACATCTGTAAAGACCCAGCTTTCATGCCCCATCTGCCAGAAGAAGTTTACCAATGCTGTCATGTTGCAGCAGCACATCCGGATGCACATGGGTGACCAGATTCCCAACATGCCTCTGCCAGACATCCCCTGTGACTTTACAGGTTCTGAGCCGATGATGGTTGGGGAGAGTGGCAGCACAGGTGCCTCCTGCCCCGAGGAGGTCGAGAGCATTGATGTAGATGAAATAACGTCCCAGGATACCCCCGCTGGCTCGTCAAAGGTCCCTGCACCTCTTCCCAGCACCCACTTGGCATCACCCACCCTGGGGTTCCCTGTGATGGCTTTTCTAGATGCCCCAGTGAAAGAAGGTCCTGCCCCTGGGGGCCTGCAGTGCCAGAGCAGCTGAGAAAATGGCTCAGTGGAGAGTGACGGCCTGACCAATGACTTGTCCTCGCTCGTGGGTTACCAGGAGTATCAGAGCCGAAGCCCAGATGCCATGGAAACCATGTCCTTCCAGGCTGTGTCCCCGGCCAATAGCCAAGCAGAAAGCATCAAGTCCATGTCTCCTGGTGCTGGGGCCAAAGCTGAGACCTCCGAGAACAGCTGCCACGAGATGGAAGGTAATAGAGCTTTGGATTTCACTTATGTCCCTTGTGGGCTCAAGGTCATCAAAAGGGAACCTGGGTTGAACTTTGCAAATGGAGTGTGATCTGAAGCAGCTCCTCTGTAGGGCAATTAGCTTTCCTATACTTCTGGGTAGAGGGACATAATAACAACCTCTGTCCTAGCCAGGAACAGGCTTTTTACTTATAGTGGTTAATGCAAATTGGGTATGGACAAGCATCATTATTGTTGGTTTTTGTTTTTGCTTTTGACCCCATGGGGATCTAGGGGTAATCTTAACCAAATCCCAGTAGCAGTGGGCAAAACTGCTTTTTGGCCACTGAAATGAACTATAGTTCCTTGATTCTGAGGTCTTGCTCCCTAATAGAATGTTCACAAGTCATTTATGAAGGGGGGAAGGTAATATCTTAAGTGTACAAATCAATTTGGGGAACATATTTTGGGGCATGTATTGATGCCATTAATGATAAAATAGGGTAACAGGGGCATCATAGAATCAGACAGATAGGTTCTGGGCAGGTTTTAAAGGTAACTCTTGATGCAGAAACTTGAACTTGAGTTACATGTATTCCCATGTTGCCCATTCTTTGATGCAAAACTGAAACGGTCCATTTTCCAGTCTATTCTTTGTGCAGATGAACAATCCAAAGGCAAGCTGCTGGTGAGGTGTCATTTCCTGTAAGCCATCTCCTCTGGTTTAGTGGGCAGTTGTTTTCAAAGCTGTTTTGTTTCTAAGGATGAGTGGGTGTTGGATGATAAAGGTTTGGATTTTCTTCCCCTCACATACTAGGTCGTAGCAGTCTCCCATCTACATTTATTCAAGCACAGCCCACCCATGTCAAAGTTGAAGTTCCTGGCACATTTGTAGGATCCTCCACCATGTCCCCAGGCATGACACCTTTGTTAGCGGCCCAGGCACGCTGACAGGCCAAGCAACATGGCTGCAGGCCATGTGCGAAGAACTTCTCATCCGCCAGTGCCCTTCAGATTCACGAACGCATGCACACTGGCTTAGCATGTGTAAGGCCCTGGGTTCCATCCCCAGTACTGCAAAAAAAAAAAGGCAAAGGGATATATAATCATATCTCATAAGTGATGGCTCTTGAAATATCTTTTTTTTTTTTTGGTACTCAGGGGTACTTGACCCCACGCCACATCCCCATCCCTATTTTGTATTTTATTATTAGAGACAGGTCTCAGGTATGCTCCACTGCACCTGGTTCTAATTTTCTTTTAATCGTTAAGGGCTGGGCTGTAGCTCAGTGGTACAGCACTTGATGGGGCATCGAACATACATGAGGCTCTGGGTTTGATCCCCAGTGCAGCCAAAAAAGAAAAAGCTAAGTAGATCTATAGTATAAGTCTGGAAACAGAAAATCTTTGTTATTAGTAGTGAGCTAATATTGATCATTTATGCATTGGATTAACATTCCAGGCTTGACAACCACTGAATTTCTGTTTCCTGGCCTGCTAAGTTGATATAAATACCATGATTAAATATGAGTATTATATAGATGTATGTCTGGAAGCACTGGAGTTTAAAACAAACAGTAGCCTCCAGGTTAATAGCCATGCAGCTGGGTCCTTCCATAGAATGGTCTGTGCTATTACTGCTGTTAGGAGGAGCTGCCCCTGTGAAGGGTGAAAGTGTCCTGCAGATGGGAAGAGGGCTTTGGGGTTTTCCACCTGGCTCCACCTCTGGTTTGCTGTATAGCCCTGAGGATCTTTCTTTGCCACCTCACAAGTAGGTGGGTTCATTTCCTTATGGTTAAAACAAAGGTCAAAACTTCATCTTAAAGTTGACCTAAAAGGCATTCTCTATTTTAATTATGTAAATCTAGTTGGTAAAAGCATTGTGGTAGGAATATGTAGCAGCAGCCTCTTGTGACACCTAGAACTATAAGGATTCATCAGTGTGTAAGCCCCTGGCTTGTTTGGGCAGGTGGCTTGCTGTGACTTGGTCTCCCTGGCTGCCCTGGATGGTGGTAATGATGAACTCCAGGGTTGTCCTGGAGCAAGACCAAGTGCTCTTAAGTAGAGCCTTCCCAGTCACTGCTAGCAACAGCAGCACTAGTGATGCACAAGCAGCCTCTTCTGTTCCACCCCGTGGGGTGGCCACTGGTCTCCAGGGTGTCAGTAAAGATGCATTGAGTGCCTGAGAAACCTGATACCTCAYGCAAGGGTTTTTAAACTTTTAAAGAAGCTAAAAATTATTCAAAAACTTGAAGGGCAGGCAGGAGAAACAATTATGGAAAGCATACATGTTTAAGAAAAGCCAGGGGACAGGTAGTATGGTCTTTCCTTAGGAAGACTTACATGGAATAGCATCTTCTTCTCACCATGGCCTTCTGTAGCTTTCCCAACCGGATTTCTGTTTTGTTTTTTTCCCAGTGCTGGGGATAGAACCCAAGGCCTTGGTTTTTTAATGGTGCCAGGAATTTAATCCAGGGCCACTTAACCACTGACCCACATCTTTAGCACTTTTTATTTATTATTTATTTTGAGACATGGTCTTGATATGTTGCTGAGGGCCTTGCTAAATTGCTGAGGCTGGCCTTGAACTTGTAATCCGTTTGCCTCAGCCTCCCAATTCCCAAGCCACTGGGATTACAAGCTGAATAGGACAAATATTGACCTTGAAATTTGGAATATTGCCTGGCATGTATCAGGTGTTTCTATAAGTACACACACAGACAAGAGTCTACGCACTGCCTTGGTCTCTCTAGGCARGAGTGCTGGCCAGATACTGCCAGATCTTTGTTTCCCCTTTACCCAGTATATGAATTTTTTTTTTACATAATTTACTTCCTAAATAAAAAAAAGCATATTGAGAGACACTCTTTGGGTAGAACCAAAGCCACACTTGCTGGGGAGCAGTAGAATATTTGCTAAAAAAACTCTGTCCTGTCCGCAGGTCCACTATATGACACATAGGGCAAACAATAACTCAGCTCACCGCAGGAGGAACCTGGCCATTGAGAACACCATGGCCCTGTTGGGTACGGATGGAAAGAGAGTCTCCGAAATATTTCCCAAAGAAATCCTGGCACCCTCGGTACATGTGGACCCTGTCCCTGTTGTGTGGAACCAGTACACCAGTGTGCTCAATGGTGGCCTGGCCATGAAGAACAATGAGATCTCTATGATCTAGAGTGGCGGCATTYCCACCCTGCCCATTTCCCTGGGGTCCAGCTCTGTGGCCAGCAGTGCCATGGTCTCCAAGATGGACTCCCAATCCAGGGGCAGTGCAGAGGTGGAGAAGCCATGTGTTGCCGACAGCATTGCCAAACACTAGTTCCCTCACTTCCTGGAGGAAAACAAGATTGCAGTCAGCTAAGCCCAGGAGAACCTGCCTGCTAGGAAAAATGCAGATCCTGTGGAATGGATGGGAGCTGGACTGGTTTTTTATTTTCTTCAAGAACCCATCTCCTCWTTTCTTTATTCTTACTGATATGCAAATGATATTTACGGTTGTGACCTCAACCTTGGGCAGTCCTACAATCATGATTGTTGCTATGCTGCTTTGCAAAAAAAGGAAAAATTGAAAAAGAAAAATTGGCATACCAAAACAGACTAGAATCTTTTTATTTTTTATTTTTCTTTTGGAAAGAAGCAGGTCTTGAAAAGTAGCTTTGTTACTTGTGACAAACTGTATGTATACATAGAAGCTTTGTACAACCTAGAGTGACTTTCCAAAGACTATTGCCTCTTTCAGGGTGAAACAGTTGGAATTTACTGCACCCTGGTGGAAAAGACAACTATTTAGCCTAATTGGGTGGGTGGGGGTATACTCTACCTCCAGGCCAACCAAATGTGCATA